TGCCATCACCCAGCAGCACGGGAGCGCGCTGAGCCTGCCCGAGCGACAGCCCCGCACCTCATCTTCCTGCAGCTCAGCCGAAATTCCCGCTCAGACCCCGCGGGACGCTCTCCCCCTGCGCGCACGATGCTGCTCCCACTGTCAGCTGCGATGCTCGGACGGACACATGCCGCACCGGGTACCACCCGTCACCTCTTATTGCACAGCTGCATCCAGATGTCACCAGAGTGAAACTTCGCCTACCCAAGAGTTTAGCCTTGCTCTTTAGCCTTCAATGGGTACAGGTGGAAGGAGGGAAAATTTAGGTTAGATACTAGGGAAAAATTTTTTACTCTGAGGGTAGTGAGACACTGGCACAGGTTGCCCACGGAGGTAATAGATGCCTCAACCCTGGCAGTGTTCACAGCCAGCTTGGATGAAACTTTGAGCAACCTGGCCCAGTGGGAGAGGTGTCCCTGGCAGGGGGTTGGGACCAGATGATCTATTAGGTCCATTCCAACTCCTAAAATTCTATGATTCTATGATTGATTGGTTCTTCACCTTCATACACCATTTTGGATGTTGGTGATCCACTGCTGAAGCACTTTGTTTAGATGCTGTCTTAAATATTTTAGCGATACCCTTTGGGGCATTGATCATGCATAGATGTGATTACACAAAGTCGAGGCTTTGTTGATAAAAGGTTAGTGATTTATAAGTTGTGGGACTACCTTACAATACAAAGGTGTTATTAGCATATCAGAAACAAGTCAGAGGTAACTTTTTGACTTGACTCTTAGGAGGTTTGAAGAGCTGATCAGACATATGCATCATCGTTCAATCTTTAAAATCTATTTAGAAATACAATACTAGTACAAAACAGGCAGGTACACTTGGACAAGGTAAGGGCACTCTAGAAATCCATTCCTCTCCAACACACAAGTCACATTTCCTTATTCATACACCTCAAGTAAGTCTCAGTACTACTACCTGTACTGTGCAGATGGGGAAGCTGAGGCACAGAAAAACATGTTCACTAGGCAAGCTGACTAGAGCCAAAAGCACTTACAACCTCAGTGTGATGCATGAGCCACCAGATCTGCTCTCTACCATCTTAGTTTTTGCTATCAATGCTTGTGTTTCTTCTCTGAGAAGAAAACCAGTATGAAGCACCAGAATGGAGCAAGACCAATAACAGAGATACTGCAAAGCCTCAGCTGTAGGATACTCCAACAATGAGTTCTAGGTGCAAGGTGGGTCTTACAGTTATCCCAAATCTTTCTGCAAATTCCTCTCCACACTCACAGACTGTACCTGAATGGATCTGCCAATGCCTCATCACACTGTGACCTATCCTAACCAAGCAGTTTCTGAGGTTTGCTTATTTCCACTCATCGGGGGACAACTGGTTTAAAAATGCACACAAGGAGCTGTGTAAAGCAGCAGCAAACCCTGTGCTGGCAGGAGCAGAACCAGCGTGCACACACCCTCCTGAGCTGCTGTGATTCCCACCCTGCCACAGCCTGAGCCTGCAGGACATGCTGCAGGGGGCACAGTCACCTTCCCACAGGGACACGGGGTTTGGGTTTTCTATCAGAAGGCACCAGGATGGGGCTGTTCCATAGCTGTACTTCTCCACAAAGGAACTGGAGGAATACCACAGGTCCTCAAGTGTAACACCAAGCTGATCTTTTATTGTCCAAAAGCTCCCAAGGCTGGTCAGAGGCCTATCAATTGCATTGGCACTGGTAGGAACGTAGTGGTCTTGCAGAGAGGTTCCTATCCACAGGATCTGTCTGCAGCTCCTGGATCACAGCAGTGAAAGTGGAAAAATCACAGGTGGTGTGCACAGTGCTGTTCTGGTGGTACGTTCTGGGCAGCACAATAGGCCTAGGTCTGTGCACAGGAACTAAAAAGTGGTCTAATATAAAAATAGAGCTTTAAGAATAACCAAACAACATGACAAGGCTTGTGGCTCTGAAATATCTAACACATTTAGGAACTGCATTTTTTAGGAAATACTTCAGTTAGAGAACCTCAGGAGAGCTGTCTTTCAAAGCGTGAAGTAATTCACACATGCAGCCACAACACAGCAGAAAGGGAGGAAGATTTTCTAGTATGCACTTGTTTGCAACATTCCAGTGTATTGCAGTCCATTTTGCACGTTACAGTTCTCTCTTAGCAGAAGCACACTTGCAGCAGCACATTTTCATCCTTATGCTCAAGATTCACACAAAGTTATTATTCTCAAGTAAGTCTCAAAAACTGAGGAGTGGATTTGGGAGTGTCACTGAACTGAGCTTGGTTTTGGCTCTGCAGAATGCCACATCCACAGAATATCACTAAAAACCCTGGAGATTTCAGTAGAAATTCTTGCATGTTGCATGTGTTCTAGTCGGTTTATCATTTTTGGCTGGCTTGGTACCTCATATTGCTTAAAAAATCCATTTGAATTTTCTCAATGTCCTTGAAGATACCATTTATACTCTTATCTCAGTTCTCCTGCCTTTCTGCAATTGGTTTAATCTCAAATGGCTATTCAGTATTGAAAAGCACCTAGAAGAATGTAATTTCAAGTTCCAATAGTATAGAGTTTTGCATCTCTTCTCTTCAGTATACGCTTGCTACTCATACTGTTTATATCCATTCAGCAAATGAAATACAAGACTTATCCTTCCCTGTCACAGGTGTCTCAGTACCAAACCCACGCAGGTACCTGTAGCTCAGCATGTCTTTCTTGCAAAGTTCCTTAAGAAAGGTAGTTGTATGTCTGCAATGGACACTCTGATGTCAGTTTTCAAGAGCTGATTTCCTCGATTCAAAATTTTCCCTTCGGTGGCGCTTCAATTCTCTCAGTTCTTGAGGCTGCAAGCTCTGGTCCACGCCAGGAGTTAGCTTGTAATTTAGAGGAGACTCAATATAACCATTTCTATACAAACAGACCCTCTTGCAGAATTCAAAGGTGCTAAACATAACGCCGAAGTATGGGACAATCTGATAAAAAACCAAAATAAATAAAAAGCAATATAAGATTAAAAACAGTATTAGACTCACTAGTGGCATTCTTAGCATAGATGTTTTAAAAAAGGAAACTTCTAGGACTTCAAATCTGATCTGCTAACAGACCTGTCCTCATTTATATAAAGTCAGAGTCTCACCTCAAACTAGGCTGGCACCTGCAGTGTGCTAAAAGTAGGAGTTTATTATCAGTACGTAACTAATTATAACAAGGTCTGTGCTAGCCTATAGATTATCACAACCTGTCAAATACCTAAGCACATCCTAAGCAACTTCAGCAAATCCCAGTAGGAAACGTGGAATTTATTACACACAACAGAGTGATTGAACATTTTCCTTCTTTTGCCCCACGCAGAACCAGCAGCTCTAGTGCCATGTGGCTTTGTACCAGCCAAGGTAGGGCAGGCACAGGCAGGCCATCACAATCAATCACACTGTCATTCAATTAGAACTCATTAGCTGACCTGTAGTACTCCATGTAGGTAATCCTCATCACAGCACTATAAAATGTATTTATGTAAACTAAATGACCTTTTGTATAAACTATTGTGCTTTATTTTGTGCTTTCAGGGCTGTAGTAAGCGATACAAGAGCATGAGATACCTGGCTGAAAGTACTGCTTTGGACTTCAGGGGAAGTGGCTTATACAAGCACAGTTTTCTTTACAGCTCAGTACAACATGTCAAATTACTGGAGCTCAGCTGAGAAGCAGAATTTGTTTAGCTGTCCTAAGTGGATCACTTGCAATCCCCCATCCATTCCTTACCTCGTGTGTTACCAGCACTCCCTTCTCTAAGAACATTCCAATAAACTTGAAAGTAGTGACTTTCAAGTTTATTGTAAGCCAAGCTTACATTTGGGGAAATACAACCAAACCAGGTTCCAAGGCTGGTTTATAACCTGTCTGAGGTTATACATGCTCTGTCACAGACTCTCTCATCTCTAAGCTGCTAAGTACAGAGGCATGTCATAAGGTTTATAACCACAACTGTCCAAAAGTGTATCTTGATTACTTCAGGATAGTCTTTGGGATGAAAGCAAAACCTCACCTTGAGCAGACTGGGTGTGAGACCACTCCAAAGTCCCAGCACACCTTTGATCTTCACGGTTTGCCGGAAACAGTCAGCCATGCCAGTAAAATGGATATCAACTCCTCCATAGTGGGGAAGCCAAGGACTCTGGGCCTGTTCAAGAGACACCCAGGGGGATTTAGAACAAGTAGAGAAAAAAAATGAAGTAATTAATTATTTTCTCTGTTCTGATATAGAAGGAACACTCAGTGCCAGGTTTCACCAGACTGATCTGGATTCTTTCCAAAACAATCAGCTCTTTTGCATTAAAATAAAAACCAAAAAGGGAGGGAATTCACTCTCTGATAGCTATGAAAGAGAACAGTAATTTCACACAGCATTTCCTTTCATGCCATGTCACTACTAGAAATAAATCCCACCCTTGTGAAGACAAACCATCCGAACCAGAGCCACATATCACATCAGCCCCATGTCTTCCAGCTGTTCAGGTCTGGAGAGAGATATTTCGCATCCTTGGCAGTTGAACACCTATGAAAGGGAAGCTTGGGGCTGATCCCTGATGTCCTCCACTGCCTTCCTGTAACTGATGGAACCAGCTGACCTGACTCTGGCCCCTGAGGCTGTCCCCACACTGCAGTGAGAAGGGAGAACTGTACCAGAGGCTGAGTAGCAGCAGCACAGCAGAACCAGGAGGACACAGATTTCAGCCTGAGCTGTACACCCCACCAAGGGCTGCAGGTGACCAGCTGGTGCCCATACTCCACATCAGTGTGTTCAGCTGATATGGACTGGTTGAAGTTAGCTTGGGAGCATCCTGCTGGGCTGCAGCTACACTTCCAACTGCAGTACAGACAATGTCTGTTTGCATGGAAGAAGTGTAGTTGGTAATTTTTAACAGCTAAATCCTTTCTTCATTAATCTCCTACTGTGCTAGCACAGACAGGATAACCTGATCTTGAATAATCCCATCCTCATCCATCTGTGCACATGCAGCCATGGGTTTATTTTGCATCGGCAAATCAGGTTTCACTCAAACACATGACAAGTGACACTTCTCAGTCAGGGCTGTGTGGGGACCCCAGGATGCAGACTGGTCACTTGCAAACCGATCACCTCAAGGCAGAAGTTTGATAAAAATGGGACTGTACAGTTAACTGATTGATGAATACAGGTAACATTATCCCTCAACTGATCTGAAACACTATGTAGTGTAGCAATTTTTCCCTCCTTGGACAGACTAACCTAGAGCATCTCAGAGCTGCTAAGCCTATGACAAGCCTCTCATAAATTGACAAGTGGTGATGACATTTTCTAGATGCCTCAGCTATAATATTTCAAGTACTTGGTAACTGAGATGCTGGAAATGCAAACATCAAACCGCATGGTCTACGTGTGTAAGAGAAATTGCTAATCAAATAGTTTAAATGTTGTTGCATTCTCTTACATTACTGGCAAGTCTAGTGTTAAAATTTAGAAGCTGACAAAAAACCCCAAAAACCCTGGATCATCCCAGACCACCACATCCTCATTTGTTATGTTCTGGATCCCCTTTATCATGTCCTGGCTCTTTTGCCCCAGACAAGAGTAGGGCTGAGGATTTAATCCATGGTCTTTTACACTTTGAGGAAGGGAACAGAAGCCTTTGCTTCTCTCTGAAATTTCTCAACAGTGTACCTGATAAGTAAGAGAAGAATCACATTTGTGGAGAAGAAAATATTTCAACTGTTTTAATTTCTCACCCACTTTGTGCTTACATTGGCCTTGCAAACTCCATGGAGCTACAGCTGTTACCACAACTCCTAACTGTGGTGCAAGCTCCCACAGCTTTCCTGTTTTACGACTCAGAGAGGCAGACATTATGGGATTTAACTGTTGTGATTTTACAGCATTTCCAGCCCTGTCTTTGCAGGTAGTTCAAGGTAATGGAGACAGTCTGACAGCCGAGGGTCAAGACATGTTCACTTATGCTCATTTACTACAAGGAAGCTCAGCTGTCTGCCTGCCTGTACTTAAGGGGTGCTACGGTATAAAAAGCAATAGCTAAATCCAACAGTGAGAAAGAGAGAAAAAAACTTTTGAAACCTTAATGCACAGTCCTTGAGAAACTCCTGCACAAAGACTTTCATGTCTGTACTGCAGAAGATACTGCATGCTGCAACTGAGATTTCAAGAACCAGTTCCACTAAGAAAGGTGATATTAGCACCAGTGATGCTTAGAAGAGCACTCAAACGATGCAAATATCCCTAAAAATGCAACAGCAGTCACAGGAGAGCTGGATTCCAAACCCTGTTCTGCTTTCTGGGCTGTTGATCAGGTTCCACAAGTTTTTTTGGTAAAGAAAGTGATAGGCAGCCAAGGAGTGAAGAGGGACAGGTTTCTGAAACGCTTCAGGAAGGCGGGAATGCTGTTAACATGCAATTCCCTTCCTTTTCCAGTCCCTCGTGGTGGGTGGGGCATGCCCTGCCAGAATTAACTGCATGAGTTTGACTTAATCCCCCTCATTACTGTATACACTGCAAAGGCACATCTCAAAGGTTTTGATTACAGTACTCTTGCCTACAACACCAAAACAGGGACAAGCACGGTGCGGGTTTCAGCAAGATCCTGCATGCAGTAAACACCTCCAGAAGACAGTTGAAAAAGAACAGGTAAATCAAACCCTAGATTTCCAATCTGCCCACAGACACTGACCTCTTAAGAGATTTACTGGAAAATTATTTATAGTAACATTCACCACAGATAGAGCCACTTTCAAGACTTCAGCCTCGAGTGAAGTTTGTGTTACCAGTCTTTCTCCTGTATTCTATGTTTCTAGGACCCTACACACAGTACTTAAATAACAATTGTCCACAGAATTTCAGAATCGCTTACTGAAAAAGGAAAACTTAACACTCTATCAGTGTGTAGTTAAAACTTCAGTATTTTGGAATACAGCTGAACAAAGTTAAAATGCATCAATGAAAGAAAAAATATTACAAAGGCGTTTCATTTCCCAATGTTTTTAACAAAAACAATAGCTGTGGGTTTTGGGGGGGTTCTTCATCATCTAAGCATGTCCACCACACTGCAATCCTCACAACCACCCTATGGCACCAGAGCCAGAAAATGGAATCAACAAAACAGATCAAATTACTTTCTCTACCTTTTTTTTTTTTTCCTGAAACCTACTATGACATACAAATTAAACAGCTAATCTCATACCAAAAAGGTCAGGTGTATGACAGAGGCATTTCACACACCTCAAAGCAGCTCGAATTCCTTTCTTTTTTGACACCCCTCGATGCAATGGGCTGCTGCATGGAAACCTGTTGGTTATGAACACATGCAAAGACTTCCTTCCCCCCACTACAGCTGTCTCATGCCGCAGGAGGCTGGAGCAGCTCCCTGTGCTGATGACACAAGGTGTTAGTCATAGTAGTAGTGGGGCTAAGTTGCTTATCTTTTTACCTCTGAGGGTATGAAATGATTACAGCACATCAAATGCAGAATTGGCTCCATCTGCTCTCTCACTAACACAGTATTTTCATATCCAGAGGCCACCAAGTCTACTAACTCACTGTGATACATCCCCAAAGTCAGCACTCTGTTCTACTGTGACAATCTAAACCCAAGAGAGATGTGTATAAAAAAAGCCCCATAACTACCTGCACTCACCTTTTTTATAAATAAACAAAATAAGGGTGAAGTGTCATGACAAAACTCAGGTTAATTGCTATAGTTAATTGTTATCTGAAGACTCTTCAGATAGCATCTTTCCCACTGTCTGCATCATGAGTTAACTGGCAGAAAACCATAATCCCATTTCAGGAACTAGTCTCACAGACCCTTTCAGTGACCTCCCCCAGCCCCTCTCCTGCACAAATGAAAACTTTTCACTTGCTCTTTGGGATGTGTTGGTTTGCAATTATTTGAATTTACATGTTTCAGAGACTATCTGAAAACACTTCCCTCTTAATTCATGTACTTCTCCCTCCTTCCCTGTCCATTAAGTTTGTTGGCACAAATATTTACTATTTATTTTCTGAGAGTGCAGTACTGCTGGCACAGAGTATGAAAGACCATCTAACAGTGAATAGCTGCTATCAGTGGTATGCTACCCTGATGGCAGATAGAGCAAAATTGCCTGTTATTTATGTTTTTTCAACAGATTCAGGTGTCCTACACTTCTGATCAAGTGAGAAAAGAAAGGTACAGGAAGACACTTTACACAGCTCAAGAGTTCACACTTAATCTGCATGCTAAAATAAGAAGACTTTACAGTCTGGGTTAATAAGGGCACATGCAACGGGCAAGCACAGCTGTAGGTCAAAGGAAGCTGAAGAACAAAGAGTGCAGTTTTCATGCAAGTTAATGCCACTCCAGTCACCAGAAATGTCACTCCAGTGAAGGCTGAATGCTCGACAGAGTGTTTCATTCCACTCCAATAAGAAAGAATTAAAATCTAAGTAAGTAAGGGGGAAAGATGCATTCTCTTGGGCTAATCAATCCTTCCTCCTGGAGTTCAGCCTTACTCAGCAGTCATTCTCTGTCAGTGGTTTGGTAATACCCCTGGTTAAAGTCCACCCAAAGGTATTCAGACACGTAGGAAGGTAAACCATGACAAGCTATCAGGATGCAGTTGGTTCAGAGCAGCACAGCAGAGCAGGTGACCTCCACCCTCCTACACTCTAGGAACACTATGTCCTTTCCTCTGTAACCTGAACTGCGGCCAGACCATGTCACCTTTCTGAGAGGAATGGCACTGCGTGGGCAAAACAGCTTAATGCTCGAGCAAAAGTTTGACTCTTAGCTTTAAATACATTATCACCAGGCCTGTTGTTTTCATGGCTTGCTGCAGAATCCCTCCTTTGCTCCGAAACCTAAGCCTTCCCTGCTTTTAACACCTTGTGAAAAAATCTTTAATACAGAATACAGAACTCTTTCCTCAAGGCAGTGCAAATGCCTTTCATGGGCACCTCTGGGTGGTTTCCAAAATGCTTCATGATGGTTCAGCTCAAGCCCTACAAATGGGTGCACCATTTTCATGCACATCAGCACTAGTTTATGTAATGGTGCAAACCCTTAGGCAGACTAGTTCAGTCCCACATTTCACACAGTGGATAGCAATGCTAATTCCTGCATCTCCTACTGCCTGTGTAGGAAATGAAGAGAA